TCTACGCTACATTCCATCATGTCCATTTGTTGACAAATCCTTCGAAGTTGGTCATCAGAAGAGCTATTGATTCAATGCTTGGATTCAGAAACTCAAAATAATAATGAGTCTCTAAACTCGCTGATATGGGCTTTCGCTCTAAATTATATCCATTCCGGGTCTCAGATCATTGAAATTGCACACATTTATTGCTGGGTGTATTTTTAATAAAGGCTTTNGTCTATAAACCGGCAGTTGACTTCTGACTTCTGACTATTATGACCCGACATTATGTCATATTACACCACTCCACAGTACTCATTTTACCTTTTTTCTACCTTTGTGACTGTCTCTTTTACATCTTTGAAACACTCTTCTGTTCTCCCCCTCCTTCCTCTCGACTTTTTTCCCTTCGATGTTCCTTCCTCTCTGTGAAGCCTGAAGTCAACTAAAGGGCTAATGATAACTATCAAAACACCTGCCATTTGATATAAATACTTTCAAACTTATACTCCCCTTCCTCTCAACCTCCCCTTGAAAAGACCGACTCTTGTTCGTCTAGCTCAGTCAGAAGGGAAAGTATCTCGATCTGAGGGGTGACGTAACTTGTCAGCATACAACCTCCTAAACACATTTGGATACTCCATGTTCTTTACTTTGAGAAGAGCTTATAACCATTATGATATTTTCACTGATAGTTTTTCATATCAGTTAACTTTTAAAAGGTTGCAATACTCAATTGAATAAAGCCGATGAATAAAAGGATGTTAAAATTCATCTCCATTTAATTGGAAGAAATGGTTAAGCGCTTGCACTGGGTGGTATTTGAGACAATGACTTTTAACACAAGCTTCGCCTTGAGGACACAAAGGGCATGGGAGAGCATGAACGCAGGATCGGCGGTCACAGTTTGGGTAATCTTTACAGACTGGGACATATTTTGTGACATTCGTATTCATATTTTTGTCCCATTCAGGGTCGCCTCCTAGGGCCTTGATAATGACATCCCACATTTCTTTAGGAGTAGTTAAAGTTCGAATGAATTCTTTCATCTAAGGCGGAAAAAAACAAATCCTAACGTAACTTTTTAATTAGAAAACAATCAACGCACACAATGTTGCTGAAAAATTGGTAGTAGTAGCCTAAGGTGGCAAGTGACAGAAGGGAAGAACTCAGATCGCAGAACGAAGAGAAAGAGCACAGTGCTGAGAAAGACAGAATGGTCATCTTCGCTCACCTCTTTAATCATTAGTGATTCATAAGTTATCCATTTTACTCNATTATGGGAGTGAAAATTGGTCCAGAAGCGCATGCATTTGCTATCAGACGAGACAACGCTCGGATTGACCGCTCCGAGATACGAGCTTCCAGCGCATCAAAGGAGGCCAGAATTGCTCGAATAGAAAACAGAGAAGCCGAAAATAGTTTTTTCGAAGTCGAGGAAGGTTCGATGTATGCAGCAGGAATGGCAGATTGAATAAATGTAAGTTAAAAATATAATTTTATGACTTAGACTGCAAAAGATTTTATTTGAAACTTTAAACGCGTTTTTCTCAAAACTGTTTTTTGAATCTGATACCCCCGATTTCTCAGATTCTGCCAAACCGATTTACTTGAAATTTTAAGAATCTTCTTTAGGGACTACGGCCATCGTCAAATTCTAATTTTTACTATTTTTAAAAAATCGAAGAATGTTCAAAAAAGTAGTACAAAAATGTTTTTTTAGACAGTCGCCATTTTGTAAAAAAAATATATCTTTAACTTTTCCGTAGTTCCGGACATAGCGAAATTATTGTAGATTGACAATCATTTTTATTTTTTTATTTCAGATTGCTTGTAGAGTTAATATCGTGAGTATGGTCATGCTCCATATTTTTGGGACGCCCCACTCCATCAGCTGATAACTAATGGAATTTCAAATTTTTTTTTTACTTTTTTTTATTTTTTTATATACTTCTAATGTGAATAAATAATGTATAAAAAATTGATTATTAAAATATTGATTTCTTTTTTTCACAGCACTTCAAAAATGGCCTAAAATTCATGTCGCTTGACCAGAATACCCCCTTAATTTACATCTGCATTAATTAACGAAAATTGCAATGTAAAATACCTCAGAATTGGCTGAAAACATTGGCTTTATTGTAATTGCAAAGTTTACTCTTTGGTTGGTAATTCGAGTAACCAAAACAAGAGTCCCGTAATGGCCCAGGGATGGAGCGTTACTAAATTACTAATTGGTTGGGGTTTAGAAACGTGGCTCATTAGTAGAGATTGAATTTTTTTATGATGCTCGTAATGTGAACTCCGATTTAATTAAACTGAACGAGAGGTAACTTGGTTTACTCTGACCTTCCAAATAGTCGCAATTGCATGGATAGAATTTCTTTGTCAGATTGCGCAAATTTTCTCTGATAATAAACAATATCTCTTAATTTTAGTACATTTCAGCAGTTATGTAACATGGCGAACAATTAATGATAAAAATACGAAATATCTTAAACTGGTACTTCATCTTCCTCCTTGGAAAAAAAACTGGTTCATTTTATTCTAAACCTCCCTGTGAAAGATCTTCATCATGACTTTTAAATCCTGGATTCGCTTGTAATTTTATAGAAGGTTAGCTCGAACTCGCAAAAGAAATGTTCTGGTGATTGTTGTGTTGAATTTCCGGAGCACTCTAAAGTCTAGGCGGTGGGAAGCCACAAGCATCCAAGATGATGTTCAGTGAATTCATTTCCACCGTCGTTTGTCTTTCTGCATAACAGGGAGCTGAGATGGTTTCTATGACTCTCGAGAGTTTGACCATCGATTTCACCTCGCATGTCACCCGGCCTGGTCCATCTCTAAAATTCCTTCTACTTATGTACTAATTGGTAGATGATCAACCACGCAAATGGATGTACCTGTTGTGAGTCTTCTTGTCACATTAAGACGATCAGAGGAAAAGCATAATGAATCATTCCTGGTTTTCGTTCCATGAGAGTTCTGGCAGGATTGTGATGGCATAATGCTCTATGTGGCGTCGTAGAATACATTAACAGGAACAAACTGAGAATCTGTTTTGCTGTTTCCTCACCAGGTGACTTCCGGAGTACACGATACAGAGTTATGACGAATTTTAATACCCAACCATTTGGCAGAGGTGGATGTGATGGAGAGGAGTACTTAGGAATATTTATTTATTTATATCAAATGGCAGGCATTTTGATACTTTCATTAGCCCTTTGGGTGACTTCAGGCCTCACAGAGGAGAAAAAATATCAAAGTGAAAAAATTCGAGAGGGGGGGGGGGAACATAAGAGTGCTTCAAAGATTTAAAAGAGGCAGATAGACACTAAGGTAGAAAAAAGGTGAAGAGAGTACCGTGGAAGTAGTCGAATATGACATACAGTGGGGTGATGGTAGTTTGAAGTCAGAAGTCAACTGCTGGTTAATAGACTTTTTTGCCGTTTGAGTATACGTTGCTCAGGGTGCACCACGTGGAGGTAAGTCTATCGCACACCTCACTTAGGAATATTTTGGCAGCAGAAAAAGTCTTAAAAGGAGGGTAGAAGGGAACCGCTTACCTCGAGGTAAAAATACGTGATAAAGACTTTCAATCGACATGGTAGTTGTGGTGGTCTTTAATGCAATAAGTACATTCCACTTTGAATGCAAATCTGTCATAACGGGTTGTGCAAGATCATTGGCAGATCTAGCAAAATTCGAGTGAATGCGTAACTGCGAAGCTGCTGTTTTTGGTTATTGATAAGATTCTTAGTGGGTCCATTAGGGCAACCGCGGCCAACTGCTTGGATATTCTTATACACTCAAGTAGAGTATGCAAACGTACTTGTAGTAGATTTGCTGCCCAAGACAACCATTTGATTGATATGATATTGTTACGACACCGTTCTCGTAAGTGCTGCAGAATAATAACGGCGCGATTCACAAACGTGAGACACGACTTCGGGAAATCATTCTTCTTAAATGGACGAAATCGCAGAAATCAAAATGTCATTATATTTATTCTAAGATCAGTTTTTAATTATTTTTTTTTAATAAGTATTTACTTATTTTTATTTGATAAATTAACTCCTGCAATGCATGTTTTGAACTATGATGGTTGATAATGCCTTTTTTCAACATAAGCCAATCAGAATGCTTTCAAGTAAGAGTTGAGTGCAACAGATTGGTACTGGGCAAATGTATTGGACTGGGTGTGGATGGAGAAAAGGGGAATTAGGAAGTACTTGGCACTGGGAGAAAATAGAAGAGGCGTCTGAAAGAGGCGGGTGAAACTCACTTTTTTAAATAGAGTCCATTGAGTTACCATGGGAGAGTGAACAAATTACGCTTACCTTGATGAAGTACCAAGAAAATATTGGCATGATCTTCGAAGCGGGGAGGTAAAATGTTGTGTATGCACAATTCATGGATAGGAAGAACAGAACTGCATGTTGCCGTATGCTTGCCTCGAAGCATATTTCTATTTCGGGGTGCGTGATAGACTTACCTCCACGTAGTGCACCCTGGGCAACGTTTACTCATACGGCAAAAAGTCTATAGACCGGCAGTTGACTTCTGACTTCAAACTACAATGGCCCCACTGTATGTCATATTCTACCAATTTCACAGTACTCACCTCGCCTTTTTCTCTGCCTTTGTGTCTCCTTTACATCTTCGAATCTTTCGTCTGCTCCTCCTCTCGAATTTTTCTCACTTTGATGTTCCTCTCCTTTTGCGATGCCCGAAGTCAGCTAAAGGGCTAATGATAATTATCAAAACGCTTGCCATTTGATATAAATAAATATTTCCATTTCTAAGAAAAATTTTGCCACATGCTGTGTGTGGGTGTGTCGGGATAGAATAATTGGCATCATTTAAGGTTGATATGCCGATAGTCTTTCCCTTGGAGACATGTAACAACGACTTCACATGATGGGATTTAAAATGTGCCTATAACTCGAAAAAAAATTTTTGGATGTCATAAATTCTAAATTTTCTTCTATTTAATTATCTGAAGCCTAGCAGTAAGTTATTGCAGAAATTCTAGACCACCAATTTCATCACTGAATGCTATTTTGTTAATGAATTAAATAAAACTTTAATATCAGTTTTATTAGACTTTCGTATCAGATATTGGTGTTTACGCACGCTATTATGCTGTCCAACCTAATGACCTATAAATTAAGCAGATTTCAACCATATTCGAATCATTTATCTGCTGAAATTACTTTACAAGTAAATCTGATGACGATTTGTGCTAATTACAACTACCTGGGACCTTCACAATACTGAGCTGCAGACCATAAAACTTCGACAGAAAGTTCCTGAGTTTGAAGCTACTCAACTGCAGAGCATCTGTGCACGTAAGATAAGGAGTTTGGAAGTGCCTTTGTGCTAGGAAGTTTCTATACTCATGGGCACGAACTTATCTCTAAAGATTGCACAAAAAATGAGATATTTACGGTGGAATAGCACAAGAAAACGGAGTAGTCTAATATGCCATAATGAAGTATTAGGGGAGATATAATGCTCATTAAACAGAAATATGTTCCAATCATCCTGTTCTAATGCTGCGTGTTTAAATATAAGGTCATGTATTCTGGCATTAACACTTTAGTCTTGTTTGTAGAGGTCAGACCTCATCAACCAGTTAATTAATTTGGAGGGTTCATCAATCGCCTCTGCTGTTATTAAGAGAGCAGGAGCCGAGAGTCTAAAGAGGTTTGTTAAAGCAAAACTCAATAGAGTACATCCAATATGAGCTCCAACAATAATGGTTTATTATTCAACCATAATTATAAATTTGTGCTTTAAACATTCGATTAAAAATTATCTTAACGGTTTGGTAAACCTGATGAAACTGCTTTAGTTATGTTATGAAGCTCGTTCAAATGCTTTTATTGCATTCAAGTGATATCTCTTTCTTGCTCCTTTGAATTTCCGTACTTGTAGCTTTAACAGAAGACAAATAGGAAGCTTTAAAATTTGCATTATAACATGATAATTATTATTTTGGGGATGGTACAAAACTAATAATTCACACGCACTCTATCGGATCTTCGAGGCCTCTGATTGTGTTGGGGCGACTCGTCTCTGAGCCCATCATGCCCAAACAAGCAGTATCAATACTCAGTCTGCTTGATCACCTTAAAACTTGTATATATAGAGTAAAGGGAATTTTCACTAATCTATTGCCCATATATTATACACAGTGAACAATTTCCCAAAATGTATTTGTCAGGGAAGTCACATTTAGGCTAATACAAAGCTCATATTCTGCCATAAGTGTTAGATAGTGATGGATTCAAGTAGACCGTGAAGGCGTTTTTGCTAAAACTGTCCATCCCTCAAGTAAACCAGTGGTAAAACTGGTGATGAAAATGTAGACAATTATGAATATAGATAACCGTAGAAACACAGAGACAAAGCAACACAGAAGATCTATTATGCCCAATAAGCCGATATTACTGGACAAAGTAATAAAATAAACTATATAACACAAATTACTATACAAAGTGCACATAAATATATAATTATCTACATTTTAGTTAAACTGATCGGGTAGAAGGTGAATACTAGAAATAATATTGAATATTGAAATATTAAGGTGGGTGGATTTGGAAGGCCAACTTAAATGCTGTATTAATACATTTCACACAATTGCTTACGAGATTTGCACCTGAATTAAACATATCGCCCATTCACAGATTATGTGTAACATTAAATTATTTTTCATTCAAATTGTCTTCTAAAACTTCGATATTTTGTTTATTGAAGCGATTGTTACTATTTAAATTATTATTCATTGCGTATTAAGAATCTCACATTGGCCTTAGAAGCACATACAATCTAGTGACCTTGAAATGTTTTAACGCCCAAATGTCAACGCGGCTTGTTTTTCAACAATGTGTTGGCGAATGTTCACAAATTCAGGAAATAATTGCATCAATTTTAGGTATAAATGATAAATCTTGTAGCATCGACGCAAAGAGGAAGCTATTTGACAACTTACAGTCAGATGCGCGAAAGCATTTGTCTAATTTGAAGTCATTCATCTCCAAGTTAGATCAAACTTTTGAATTAACGCCATCTCCAGAAAATATCAAAAAGCTCAAAGCTGTAGAAGGTCAATATGCATCTATTCAGGTGATTTTTCTTAACGCTGTGACGTATAAATTTTCTTCATTTGTATGATTTGCCAATATTTTATTCTATACCTTCATAGGAATCTTATCGAAAAGCCATTTATACTACAAGTAAAAGTCTGGAGATAGCTGAAAGAACCTCCCTTATCTCAGAATCTCGGCGCACTAATGGAGGCGACATTGATCTTCGAAATCAACTTCAAGCTTCACTCGAGCTTACAGCTGACATGCGAGTTCATGCCCGTCGATTGGCTGAAGAGGTTGCCAGAGGTAGCGCCAACGCTGAAATGGTTGATGAATCCTCAAATCAAGTGGAAACCAATCTTCGTGGCTTGAAAGAAATGGGAGGTCAACTAAATATTGCTTCCCGCTTGGGGGCTCGTCTTTCTAAAAGATTTTTCATTGACTGCTTCATCTTCCTTCTGGTTTTCGGATTTTTCTATCTTTCAGTTGCACATATCGTACTGAAAAGGCTCTATCTGTATCGGCTCTTTGGAATGTGATTTCATTCAAGCTTTATTATGTATAGCCTGCTTATTTACCGCCCAAGCAATCAAATCTTTAATATCGTTTAATATTTTTGAGTTTTCTGAGGCTATTTGATTGAATGCTTTAATTATGTCCAATTTTATTAAAGTTTTACACTAGGGAGATTTTGTTCTAGCAAATCGTAGTGATTCTCTTTTATTTTTTTTACTGGTTGTTTTTTATTAACACCCACTCTTGATTATAATTTTTCGTGGTTGGTTGCCGTTAGTGATAATTCGCAATTTCCCACTGTGATCAGAATTATGTTTCCTTTGTTATAATTAAACGTATTTTTCGACTATATACCGCTCTTTGGCTTTTATTAGCTAACTTGGTGCATCTGCCTATTGCATCTTGCTTTTAACTGTTTCATGAGCAAAGAATCTCTTTTCCTTTGAAAAAACTGCTCCTTAGAAATTTTACTCAAATGGTCTAACTTTACCTTAGCATGGATAGTCACCTACTGGTAACTGCATTCAGTATTGACATCGCTTCCATTAAGTGAACAATGTGCTATCATTTGGTCTTTTCCCGCTCTCAAATATGTTTGGATACATTTGGCTCTTCTCAATCTCTTGAAGTAGCTGAATTTGCTACTTATAAACTAATAAGTAGTTTTATTACCTGCGCTTGGTTCTATAACGTGACTTGCTAGCAAATTGGAGCCATGGTATTTTGTTCCACTAGAGTGGGGGCTACAGCCAAATTGAACAATTATATATCCGATGATGATCAGACTAAATCGATTGGTTGACAAGATAAGCTTAGTTAGGTAAGCGGTGATAAAGGCAGCTTCACTTAGAAAGAAGATATTCCGTAGTCATTTTGGTATTAATCTTCGAGGTATCAATTCTCGTCATGACCAAAGTTAATCATTGCAGTTGGGCCAATAGGCAAATCGACTTCATAACCTCCGGCTTGATAGACGCACAGTACCCACTGCGCAATATCAGAGATCCATTTTCATCAATATCTATTTTGGGATAGTGGAATGGCTTCAACCCTCAATGCAATACTTTGCAATGCAAGGGTATTCTAAATGCTAACGTGGTATATTATCGGGTCAAGCGCACTCGCTTCTGGTCTATTTGGGATCGTATCCAGTTGTGATTCACTATGATAATAATTCTAAAATAAACAGCGGAATACCCCAGAGAGACTGGAAAGTCGATTATGATGAGCTAATTAGTCTCCATTACGGTTATATTTGCTCCTAAAGACCGTTGAATTTCAAAAATCGGAGGTTTAAAGTGGCCATTGATCGACGTAGAGCGTGCAGCCGCATTGGAGGGACAAGAAGACGATTAAAAACACTATATCTGCAAAGCACCACGAGTAACATAAACTTATTTTTATGTATAACAAATGGCAGGCGTTTTGACAGTTATCATTAGCCCTTAAGTTGACTTCGGGCTTCACAAAAGGAGAGGAGGAACGTCAAAGTGGGAAGAATTTGGGAGGGGGGGGGAACCGAAAAGTGATTCGCAGATGTAAAAGAAACAGACAGACACAAAGGCTCAGAGAGGGTAAGATGAATACTGTGAAAGAAGTCGAATATGACATACAGTGGGGTGATGGTAGTTTGAAGTGAGAAGTCAACTGCCAGTTAATAGACTTTTTTGCCGTATGAGTATACGTTGCCCAGGGTGC